TGGAAGACTCCTGTAACCATTTTCTTTCAGCAGCTCGTTCACTTCAATTATGAATCTGCCATGACAGCTTGTCTTTTTGGTCGCCTCCGTATGCAAAGACCTTGCATGTTGTTCGTATGGTCCTGGTTATTGCAGATTCAGATGCTTTACGGAATCGCGGATCCTTGATGGGGACTTCTTCTGCAGATCCAAAATGCAACGACTCGATTTCCTTAGCTGCCGTGTCGACAGCCTCAGCCATGTGGACTAATCCATGGAGGCCACAGAAGAAGTTATTCATTCTCGTTAGCTGACTTTTCAGATCTTCGGACAAGTTTTGCAAATCTTCTATCACTGTGGGCAGTATCTCAGATCTGTAGAGCTCAAGAAGTTCATTGAACTTAGTCTCTGTAGCAGCTCTATCAGTCATCGTGTTTCTCAAATGATAAAGCATATCTTGAGATGGAAGGTTGTTTGTTGGCAAGTGATATATCTTATCAATGTCCCATAGTATTTCCGTAAAAACATCCAGGGTATCTTTGCCGGACTTGGCCAATAGATCTCTCAAACCTACAACATAAGGTCTTCCTGTGCTGTCTCGAATTGCGTAAGCTCCATATTTTCGCCCAAATTTTGACGTCTCGTCTGTCTCAATAGTTGTATGTGGTTGTTGTGGCAGCTCTTCAGCAATTTGTTGTTGTGCAACAACCAGTCTTTGGATATTGATGTTGCGAACTGTCGATTGGCTTGGCAATTTATTTGGCACCTTTCCTGCCAACTGCAAAACATCTGTTATGACACCACCCACTTTGTGGGTTGCAACATTGCTTGATAACACTTTCTGTATGCATTTTTGTGTCTCCGGAGTGTATTCACTGCTTTCTTCACTGTATAATTCTACGAAGGGGCTTGTTTGAATGTCCTCATTAAATATCATTTCTATACTGCAACTCAATTATTTCTTTTTTCAGCTCTTCCACTTCAGCTCTGGTTTCCATTTGAGGTACCTTCACATCACCATCAGTATTTTTGTCCAGTTTGTCCTCCAGTTTCTTGCACTTTGACCTGTAATACTTCTCCCTTTCCCGCAGTCTGTCTATATCTGACTGTTTTTTTATGCTTCTTTCCCTCAATTCCAATTCCAATTCATCCTGTTGTTTTACCTTCTCCTCCAGCTCTTTTATCCTATCATCACGCCGTTTGATCTCTTCATCTATTACCTCCCTCATCCCTGTACTTGATGGCAAATCTTCATGCAACCTTTTTAGTTCTCCTTGTACTGTAACCCTTCTTGATTGTGATACTAATTGTCTATTTGGAAATTCAAATCTTTCCAAATAGAAGCTCTGTAATGCCTTCTGTCCTTTTTCTGTACCTTTACTTTTGTTCAGTTTCTGTTCTTGTTCCTTTACTTTTCGCAGTTTCCTTTTAATTTCCTTTATGTCTTCTTGTCCATATGAATAAGTCTCAGTCAAATTTTTTGCTACGTCATCTATAGAAGATGATTTTAGTTTTTCTAATAGCTCATTCTTAGTGGGTGGAGGCAGGGGTCCTTCTTCTTGTTGACTGGCCATAGTTCTCCCTGTACTGTTTAAGTTCCTCCTCCAAAAGCTTTAAATCACTGACAGTGAGTTCTGTCTGTGTTTGCTGACGAAATGAAATGTTAAACATACAGGTATGAAACATCATTGGTAATATGAGACCAACAACAACAATATTATCTCAGCTTAGTCCGATTGTGCACAATATAAATAAGAAACATATGAACGTGCACAAAGTCACCGTCAAACAAAACTGTCTTCACTATTCTCTTGTGACTTGTATGACAAATTCAGCTCAAACTTTCACAGATTTGTTATTTCATACTGTTCAGTTTTAGAAAGTATGTGCACCGTCTGCAACTATGTTATCAGCTCAACCAATGATGTATCATACCTTTAACATCCATTATAACCATTAATTGGGAATTCAGATTTTTTTTCAAAATACTTCAATGTGATCCTTTTTTAACAGGCTGAAGGCTTAGTGAACTGAAAACAATTGGGAAATGGAGAGCACCTCTTATGAGAATTTCAGACTATTCCTTTAAGTTCATGTTGCATATTAACTTTCAACTTACATGTATTCTCAACATTTCTGGTATAAGAATACATACTTGCTGATCGATTTTTCCTAATTTATTTCATTTCAATATTTTATTTGATGGCACCAAGTTAGTTCACATTGTCTCTTTTAGTTGGCTGTAATTACATCTTATGTTCCAATATACTCACCTTGTCTTCAAATGAAAGACCAGTTAAATCATCTAGAAGGTCTATGCTGACACTTTCTTGCTCTGAATGGACAGACTGTTTCAGGCGAAGTTGTTCTCTTTGCTCTCTAAGCAGTCGCTCCAACTTATTTAGAATAAAAAGGAAAAAGGGGACATAAAATACTTCTAAACTTACAACTTCATGGACTATTTTTAGTTAATCATCATAACACAACAAGCAAGGAAAAATTTCAGTGTAAAACCACATCTCATTACCTCCTCTTGATCGGCAAGTGACCTACATGTATCTGAATCACCAGCCTCGGTCAACTTGTTGGAGACAAACAGTATGTGTTGATAGTCGAGAGTATGTGACAAATCAGGGGATGCCGCATTTTAAGAAAGTCTGGCTTGCTTCGACTTGGGTTTGTTTGCATCTGATATAAGTCCCTGGTGATGTGATCCACTCCCCTGTTGGGCAAGTGATGTCCGTGGAGACGAAAAGGGCTCTTTCTCTCCTTCCTCTTCTCCTTCTTGGGTGTCTCCCCAGTGCTGGGCAAACTCAAAGTCGGATGCCCATGGAGATGAAAAGGACTCTATCTATACTTCCTCTTCTGTTTTTTGGGTGTCTCCCCAGTGTTGGGCAAACTCAAAGTCGGATGTCCGTGGAGATGAAAAGGACTCTTTCTCTCCTTCCTCTTCTGCTTCTTGGGTGTCTCCCCAGTGCTGGGCAAACTCAAAGTTGGATGCCCGTGGAGATGAAAAGGACTCTATCTATACTTCCTCTTCTGTTTTTTGGGTGTCTCCCCAGTGTTGGGCAAACTCAAAGTCGGATGTCCGTGGAGATGAAAAGGACTCTTTCTCTCCTTCCTCTTCTGCTTCTTGGGTGTCTCCCCAGTGCTGGGCAAACTCAAAGTTGGATGTCCGTGGAGATGAAAAGGACTCTTTCTCTGCTTCCTCTTCTGTTTTTGGGGTGTCTCCCCAGTGCTGGGCAAACTCGAAGTCGATGTCCGTGGAGATGAAAAGGACTCTTCCTCTTCCTCTTGAACTTCTCGAGGGTCTTGTGCTGGAGATCCACTCATGACCTTTTGTGATGAAGCATGAATCCAGAAAGACTATTTTATGTGTAAAATAAACAGGGAATATTGACACACCTTTTAAGACATTTTCCTTTCCTCCATTAATTGAAAAACTGTTGATATTCCCTGCCCTGGCTACAATCCAAAGGGCTTTGGAAAAAAAATCTGCCTCCACCAGAATTATGTCTCACTGCACACTTACCACCCCTCCCCCATCTAAGGTTACAAGTCAAGTTTTGGCAGCAAATGGAAATGCATTATTATTGCTGATGTAATTAAATTAATCCTTTAATCATGTTAATACATGATGATTTTTTTTATTATTATTAAATTAAAACAATAATTTTGAAATCTACTAAAATACATTTGTTGGTCATGAATGGACGTTTGTACGAGTTTCATTCGTAAAAAACAATGAATTACTGGTGCAAACATGACAGCGCATCATCATCATCAACTGCGTCAAGGGCTGGCCAAACATCAGCGCGGAGATTCGACATATCATCGATGTCATTAGACTTTTAAACAAATACATTTCTACAGACCGCAATCGAGCGCAGGAACAAAATCAAGATATTCTTACTCAGAAAGGAACAAGGATATAGGTTTACAGGCATCCCCCCCCCCATGTTCTGTATCTAAATTGTGAAAAAAGTGGAAAATGTGATCAAAATTTGGCAAAAATTACCTTAAAACCTTATTTCTTGACCGTTTGAAATGAAACAAAAAGCATCAGCAGATTTTCCTATCCTATCTGGTCAATAGATGGTAGTATTTATTGATTTGGAAGTCAAGAGAGGGCGGTATTAATCAAAAACGGTAACCCATGAAAATGCCAAATTTAGTGTCAAAATGGCCGCGCTCAAGACAGCCGTCCTGAAAATCACGCTCTGAAACTTCTGGTTTTGGACAAATTGAGGTATGTTTTTCCCGATCTATTGCCATTTTGTAAAAGAAGGAGTGATTTGAAGCTGAAATAGCTTGATGGGACACAGTAACATTCATTTGAAAAACTTCAGTTTTGTGTGTCACCAGAATAGGAAATGTCAATATCGCGGTACCTCTAACATTGCTACATAATGTCAATTTTGAGTGTCATTTCAGTAGTCAACTGCATCCGATGGATTCTAGATTTATTCAGGCTCGTTTGGATCACGTTCGAATACAGTTTTATCAACGAACATTTAAGATTTATTTGTAAATGAAAATAAATCCTTCAAATTTATATAAAAAAATGTCCTTCCCAAAAGCCATTTGAGTCTCCTGTTTAAGTTTAATATAAGTTTTTACCCGATGACCGCCACAAGATTATTTTAAAAATTGTCATGCTTGAACGAGTGATCGAGTTTCACAAGTCCAGACGAAAGTTTTACGGAAGCGAGAGGCTATTTCATGTCATGCGAAGTTTTAGTTTCCATAAAATTCCGAGGGTAATTTTCTAAAGAAATCAATATACCAAAACTAATTTCCAAAACTCTGACTTTTACACGTTAATTTTCCTTTTCGAGGGGCCCTGAAGCACGCCACCAGGGGGTCAACTGTCAGGCTCAATACACATTTTACATGTACTGTATGCACATTGTTGTTTATGAGACATTCTATAAAAGAAAAAGAAACATTCGGGCTAGTGAAAATGCTTGCGGGCTAGTTAAGAGCCTGTTTCAGTAGCCTGGCTGGCTAGCGAACAAAAAAGTTAAGGTCGAACCCTGCATGTACAGACGTGCAAGTCGATCACAGCAGTTCAGGGGCTGTCATTTACCCCATAATTTTGCTCATAAATAAAAACCCTGACCTCTTTCTGAAAATATAAGCCTGCTGATATTCAATATGGTATTTAATTAATTGTAGCGAACTAAAAATTTAAATTTACTTTTCCTGCTGGTAGTAGGCTAACTTTTTAATACCCAATGATTGATTCAGGATATTCAGGATATTCACACAAATAAAGATTTATAACACCATTCATTATCTGTGTTTATCATGCAGGAATGACACCAGTTCTTGTACCCAGGCCTATGTGGGTTGACTTGGTGAATCATGGACAGTAAAGGCACTTCTCCACCGGCATCTACATGTAGTAAGCACAGATGTACAAATTTCAGAGAGTTTTCTGTTGTAAATTGATGAGAATATGGTGGAATAATTAAGTGATATCCATCAACAAAATATTGTAAAATAATAGAGCAATAGATCACAGCCCGAGTGGTGAATCAGGGATGTGGATGGGGTGCCCTCCCCCCCCCCCCCCACACGCAGTGACCATAACTTTATCAAATTATATATTTTTTTACAAAGAGCCTTTTGCCCACCCTCCCTCCTCCCCCACCCCCTCTCTTCCCCCACCCCCTCTCTTGATGCACCCTTGAGTCCTGCCCTATGTGAAAAGCCGAAACTGACATTGTGTTCATGTCATCAGAAAACCATGTTCAGGACGGAGTAGACATTTCATGTATAACGAAATAGTCTCTTGGCCATCCACTACTAAATCCTACAGAATCCTACGTGTTGCATTTTGGAATTCCTGCTTAAAAGATGGTTTTTCCCCCCTAACACTAACAGATGTAGCCAGTGTGATTCTGGTGGACCAGTACTCCAGACAGGTAGCCAGCAACCTCAGCCATGATTCGTTGGACTGTAGGGAACCACTCGTTTGTTCAACCTGTGGTGAATCTGTTACTTCACAAAGTGATCTTCAGGCCCATCAGAGGGTGCACACGTGTGAGAAACGATTCGGCTGCAAGACCTGTGGTAAAGCCTTTACTAAACGAAGTCTTCTTCGACGACACGACAGAGTTCACACTGGTGAGAAACCATTCATTTGTGAGACCTGTGGGAAAGCCTTTGCCCGGCAATCTACTCTAAAACAACACGGAAGAGTACACGGTGGCGAGAAACCATTTGTTTGTGAGACTTGCGGCCAAGCCTGCCCTTATCTAAGTGCTCTCCAGGTTCATGAGAGACTGCACACTGGCGAGAAACCATTTGTTTGCGCAACCTGTGGGAAAGCCTTTGCTCAGCGAAGTGGTCTACGTCAGCATATTGACAGGGTTCACACTGGTGAGAAACCATTCGAATGTGCGACCTGTGGTAAAGCCTTTCCTCAGCCAACTGCTCTACGCCAACATGAGAGGATTCACACTAGTGAGAAACCATTTGAATGTGCTACCTGTGGTAAGGCCTTTTTAAAACAAAGTGATCTTCAACGACACAACAGAGTTCACACTGGTGAGAAACCATTCATCTGTGAGACCTGTGGTAAAGCTTTCACTGATAAATCTACTCTAAAACAACATGAAAAGGTACACAATGGCGAGAAACCGTTTGTTTGTGAGATTTGCGGCCAAGCCTGCCTTTATCAAAGTGCTCTCCAGGTTCATGAGAGACTGCACACTGGCGAGAAACCATTTGTTTGCGCAACCTGTGGGAAAGCCTTTGCTCAGCGTAAAGGTCTGCGTCAGCATATTGACAGGGTTCACACTAACGAGAAACCATTCGTTTGTGTGACCTGTGGAAAAGCCTTTCCTCAGCAAACTGCTCTGTACATACATGAGAGGATTCACACTGGTGAGAAACCATTCGAATGTGCGACCTGTGGTAAAGCCTTTACTCAGCGAGGTGGCCTGCTTCAGCATAGCAGGCTTCACACTGGCGAGAAACCATTCATTTGTGCAACCTGTGGTAAAGCCTTTGCCCAGAAAATTGGTCTGCTTCAGCATGACAGACTGCACACTGGCGAGAAACCATTTGTTTGCGAGACCTGTGGTAAAGCCTTTGCTCAGCAAAGTTGTCTATACATACATAAGAAGAATCACACTGGTGAGAAACCATTCGAATGTGAGACCTGTGGTAAAGCCTTTACTCAGCGAGGTGGCCTGCTTCAGCATAGCAGGGTTCACACTGGCGAGAAACCATTCATTTGTGCAACCTGTGATAAAGCCTTTGCCCAGAAAATTGGTCTGCTTCAGCATGGCAGAGTACACACTGGCGAGAAACCATTCGTTTGTGAGACCTGTGGTAAAGCTTTCACTCAGCAAAATGGTCTAAACAAACATGAGAGAGTACACGCTGGTGAGAAAGCATTCATTGAAGAGACCTGCGGTGAAGCTTTCGTTCATCCATCTACTCTAAATCAACATTAAAGGGTTCATGCTGGGGAGAAACCATTTGTTTCTGAGACCTCTGGTCTCAGCTATAGGGGCGTAGCAAGGTCAGTTTTATGGGGGGGGTAAATATTTCTTTAAAAGGGCACTGGCAGATCCATGCTGAAATGTAGACTTTTTTTTCTTCGGACATTTGGCCTCCATAAAATGAAACGGGGGGGGGGGGGGGCTGCAAATTGATTATGCACACTAACGGACAATATTTGGCGCTTTTCAGGCCAACATGTGCACGAAATTCTCAAAAAGTCACTCGTAGCAGCCGTCATCAGATGATGCTTGGTTTTGGTTTAGGGTCAGCTGAATTTTTTTAATGATATCCCACGTAGGCCTAAATGACACCATTGTATTTATTGATGCGTTTACCGGTATATGGAAGGGCACTACATGTAAATACTAACCCCTGTGTAGCTGTTGACTATTTTTTTTCCCCTGGGCGTGTGAAGCATCATTTTAATCATGAGAATGGAACAGTTGACCTGACGTCACAGCATTGTTATTTTTTAGTCAATCTACATTTACAAAGAATTTGAACCAGTTCACGCCGGGATTATTTTGACAAGAACAGAATGAGGCGCTGGATTAGGCCGAAAAAAAAATAGTTCTGCTTCCGATTACATGCCTTTCAAAACTAGGGTCGGTCGGTCGGAATTTTTATTTTTTTGCCATTTTTTTTTATGCAGATTGAATGAGTTATATGCGAAGTTTTAGCCTGAACTATTTCCATTGCACTACGAAAGCTATACACAAAATGGCCTCAAAAAGTGAATAAAACCTACCTTAATTATTGTCAATATATTTACGTTCGATAATTCTTAAAAAATAATGGACAATTCAGGTCGTTCGCACCATATGCACAACGCTAGTTGAGACGGGAAGCTGGCCAAAACTCCGAAGTGTGTGATTCACTGTGCGTGTGGCGCGCGGCCGACCATGCATGCCATGGGCCGACAGACCTCGTTTTTACGGTCGAAAATTTCGGGAAACACGCTGCATGTATCACTCCAAATACGAGTAGTGCGATCTCAAAATAAACTCTTGAACACGGAAAATACATACACAGACAAGCTAGATAGATCGATTCTGTGAATTAGTTTTCAAAAATATTCTTTCTCCATCGGTGTTTTCTTGGCATTTTAACGATGTCGAATCCGACCAGTTGACAGTGCACGTGCCTAATGCTTAGCCATGCTAGCGCTATCGATCGCATATACGCGCATAGCCATGACAGACAGGTTACCGCATTTTCATCATGTCTTCTAAATTGGCCCCTGCGCGGCGCGGCGCGAACCAGTCGTCGCTGCATTGAACTAGGTATACGCGCATGATTATAGTCACCGTGACATCGAATTGAAAAGTAGTTATATCGCGAAGCGAATTTGTAAAAATAACGGAGGTTTCTTTTGAAAAAAATAGCGAATGCAAGTAAGAAAACAAATAAATACAAGCATTTTTTGACGCAAAAGGGATGTTGAGAGGTATTTTGTGAAGACAGAAAAGACAACAAGATTTTATTTTTATTTATTCAATCATCACTTTTTTTTTTTTTTGAATTGCCGATAAATTTTTTAGGGTCGCAGCCTAAAAATAGGGTCGGTCGGGTAACCGGAAGCAGAAGTATTATTTTTTTTGACCTTACTTTTCACTCAACCTCAAGCCAGGCGGGTTGAAGCCATCGCCCTCGGGCAGCACACTCGTATTTCCGGCCTCGCTCACTGAGAGCGGGTCGCTGACAGATTTTTCCGGTCTCGCTCATTGCTTGGTTATCTGCCATCCGCTCCGAATACCGCAAAACCTTTGCGTGTATACGTGGCCTCCGTTGCGAACTGGTTAAAGAATGGCTGTCGTCGAGTTCCCACAATAGCCTGGTTGATAGTGAGTAAAACTGTTGATAGTGAGTAAAACTATGGATCAAAAGAACCTTGGTTCGAATCTATGTTCATTTTTTATTCACATTACAAATGTATTTCCTCGGAAAATTTATCTTTGAGATTAGGCCAAAAAAAATAAGTCTCCGGTTTCTGGTATGCGCGCGCGTCGCCGTAGCCATGCGCGTCGGCAAAATGAAAACGTTTTTTTTCAATGAAAGATGATGTCTCAAAACCGCCAAACTCACTGGTTTGACTGGAATCCTGCTGCTGCACAATTTTAACATGTTTTTTAGATTGGGTTATGATCGAGAATAAGCTTTATGTGGCCTCTCTGGACTCCCATATATTTGCACTAAGTTTAGTCGGGCACCATTTTGCAGTCATCCGCCGACATTAAGCAAAAAAAAAAACAGGTAAAAAAAAAAAAGCCGCGTCGCCACACCACTTTTTAGGCAAGCTCCATACCAGAAACCGGAGACTTTTTTTTTTTGGCCTTAGTTAATTAAATGGAAAAATTGAGTTGGAGGACTTAAGTGTCTTGAAAAATTTTTTTTTGAACAGTTACACATGTTAGTATTATGCCTTTCAGCCTTTGACCTTTGCGTCTGCCACATGGCAGCCATGTCCACTCGAGCCATTTGTGTCACATGTTATGTCTGCAAAACAATACATGTAGTTGAATTTCATGGAGCTGGTACCCACTATGTATGAGCAGTGAAAACAGGAAATTATACTTATATTATAACGAAATGTTATATTTTGTGACCGGTTCCCAATTGTATAGGCCAAAAAAAGTCTCCTGTTTCTGGTATGGAGCTTGCCCCAAAAGTGGTGCGGGATGCGTTTTTTTTTCCCTTACTTTTTTTTTCTGCAAATGTCGGCTGATGTTGCAGATGACACTTCGATCCCCTTAAAACTTTAAAAAATATCCTTCAGAGTGGAGCTTGAGGTAACCTCAGTAAGGCCATAAGGCTTGAGAATTCTGCACCCACTTACGATCTTGACCGACACGAACAAATTCTGGAAATGTGGATAGACAAGACAAAAATATGAGAAAACGGTAACATCAGACAATAGCTCTACATAGCGACATCGTGCATGTGCTGCCAGGCTGGTCATTAGTCTACTCCCTTATATTGCGCTAATTAAAAAGCGTTCACAGGTTCCAGATACTGTACACCACCATTGCTCCCTCAGTCTAGCTTCCAGAGGCACAATTACAAAATTACAACACCGTCTGCAAATAGTGCCTGACTAAATTTAGTGCAAAATATATGGGAGCCCAGAGAGGCCACATAAAGCTTATACTCGATCGTAACCCAATCTAAAAAAATCTTAAAATTGTGCAGCAACAGGATTCCTGTCGAATCAGTGAGTTTGGTGGTTTTGAGACATCATCTTACATAGGGAAAAAAACACGTTAAAATTTTGCCAACGCGCCATGGCTATGGCAATGCGTGTGCATACCAGAAACCGGAGACTTTATTTTTGTGGCCTTATCAAGCAAAACATAAGTTTGGTTTGCATGATACTGCTTTAACACCTCAATAAAATGTTTGTATTTCCAATAACCTTCACATAATACTACATGTGGGCCTTTCCACACTATTAAAAGGATTACAAGTGTGACAGGGGATTGAGAATGAAGCAGGGTAATAATATCAAGTTGTTTGTCCTATTTTCCACTTGTATTTTCCCACCCCATTGTTGAGGATTGTGCTTTTAAAAGATGTAAGATTTTCTAGGCAAATTTGACAAAATATTTACATGTATGCTCACAGTGCTACCGGTACGTACGTAACATGGACAGAAAGTTTGTTAATATTAATAGAAAGTTATATAATTACAGTAAATGTCTGTATCAAATATTGTGCCTGTTCATTCTTATCCCTACAGCATTGTTACCTGTAAAAACCAAGACAATCAGCTGTATTTCAGCTGTCACAGGGTATTATGTTCAGAATACGTACGTAATATGGACAGAAGAAGGTCACAACATTTCTGTCCACGTTACGTACGTTACCTATGAGTGTCTTTAAGACCAACACAATTGTGTTCATTGTGGCTGTTAGCTCTCCTAAATTGGTTATAAATTTGAATGAGATGAAATTTGGGTGAATCCATGCACATGATAATTAGTGTCTTGTCAATTTGTAGCAAAAGTCTTTTGTTACGTACATAATTTTTACCATTTTTATAGGTTTTCTATATTGTTTGTACACATGATCATTAAGGTCTCGGGAATGCACAGGAAACAACTGAACAAAATATCTTACTTTGCTGTACCCTCCAGTGTCCCCCTCTCAAATCCCAAATGTGCAGTCAATTGTACCCCGTTAGTGTGGAAATGCCCTATGGATGTACGGACCACTGGCTGCTTGTACAAATCAAATAAAATTTTAGTTTCAAATTACACTTGCAGAAAATCTGCAAAAAGCCACTTTTTAGAAAATCTGAGCTAGCACGTACATGTATTAAGACAATGTGGGATACATGTATATTTCAGGTCAAAGGTCAAATGAGGTCAGTTATGATGCAATTCAGAAAAAGGTTAGGTTCAGTTTTTGACAAAAATGTACATCTTCTACATGTGCATGCTCATGCTTTCAAAGATTTGGATGAAACTTGGGTACAGTAACCCAATTTCGCATTGTTGCTTAAAATTGCACAAACTTTGACTTTTTTAAACACAAAACATGCCCATCTTGTACATGCCCATCTTGCCCTTGTAGACCTCTGCTACTCTTCCCATGTTCCATTTCCCTCGGGAAATTGTCCGACACAGAATAACAATGTCACCGACTCTCACATTTCGCCTGTGGACACTCCATTTCTTCCTTGGAACAAGAGCTGGATGAACATCCCTTATCCATGTTTTCCAGAAGGATGTCGCAATTCGTTGAACAAACTCCACTCTATCTCTGGGATTCTTGCTTGTGCGGAACGGCCCCTGTGGAACTCTGTTCGAAGCTCTTCCAAGCAAGATATTATTCGGTCAGATTTAGTTACCATCGTCAGGATTATTTGGGTGCCTGCCAATAGGCCTCTCATGGACAAGATTTGCTACTTCTTGCAGACACGTCTGTAGTTCAAATGGGGTCATTGTTGCTCAGCTCTCCAATCGCCTTCTTGAAGGCTTGTTTACAACTCTTAACAGCGCCTCTGCACACCCATTTTGATGTGG